TCTCTCGTGCTCTTTCACTCTCTCGCTCCGTCTCCCTCCTTTATTACAGCCAGATGGGGGAGTTGACTGTTTAGCCCAGGACAATGCGTTCTGAAGGGTAGCCCAAATGTCACCCAGCAAATTCGAACACCTGCTCTGGTAATCGCGCCTAATCGGCTAAAGTGAGTGGTTTCTGACTCAGCCGAAACAGCTCACTTGGGCTTTATCGAAGTTTCTTGAAGGCTTGAAGGATTAGCAAATATTGGGGGAGGTTAAACAATTGTGTTCTTCAACAAAACACGTAGCGCACAGGTGGATTTGCCAGGCATCACTGCGCCCAAGACTCATTTATGACTCATCAGACAGATAATACAGCGCTGCCCAGAGAGTCATTACAGAGGTTTTTATGCTTAAGGAGTATTAATTATTCAGAGACAAACACATAAAACAGCCCTTCTTTCTCTGTGCATCTATGTACATATAGCAGGGCCCACTAGTAGTTAAAACACAGATTGCTACAATAGTAAATAGATTAAAAAAATCAGACTAGCAATCAGAGTAGCATCTAGACATAACATGCCAGAGGTACCAAAATTATCAACATATTGTATGATGGAAACTACATTTTGAAATAAGAGCAGCTTTTTCTTTTTGATCACCATTTTTCCTGCCGTTAATGACGCCGCCCTGAGCAATTTGTTTGTGCAAAAAAGAGACAGACGGTAAACAGCCATTACTTTAATTGGGGTTCGTCTAACACTCATAAACTAATGACTCAACAAATAACAGCCTATTTCAAGTCAAAAAGGAAGAGGCTTCGTGTCGTTTCATGTCATCTTTTATCCTTTTTTAGATTAGAAAAACACCACCACAAGTAACATCCAGAAACATCATTATGTTGCATTACTACAAAAGCAGAAACACCTTGTCTTCACTAGCCCTCTTATCCGTATTTCAGTTGGTTTATCCTCCTCATATGGAGGGTGGAATTAGAGATGGCTTTGGGTAAGATGTACCTGGCACTAAAATGATGTGGTTATGAAAGCATGGCGGTGAGGATCAAAATGTTCCTCTTAATGGAAATGAGGTTTTCCCCTGCAGTCTCCGTTACATGGTTTTAAAGTGCCACCTACTGGTCAGCATCTATATTTCTTTTCAAACATAAAGCTGCAAAGGAGGGACCTGATCCATAATCAAAGTCTTAATCAGTGTTAACTCACATTAAAAATATCAGTGACATTACAATGATGTAAAACCTGGTTAAGTTTCTCCTGTAATATAATAGCAAAGTGAGAATGATTCAACCTCTAACAGCAAAGCTGTACAAACTATATGCCTGCAACCCAAAGACTAGCTTGAGCTTTTGCATTCATAAGCAAAGTCACCTTAAACATGAATGCTACAGTGGATGCAAACCTTGCTGGTTTTGTAAAGAACTGCATTTGTTTGCAATCACACTTCCATGCATCAGAAAGTGCACATCTGTATTTTTCTCAGAAACATTCAACACCTAAAATTTAGAAGCATTAGTTACTGAGGCAGTGACAAGCTCATTTTCACTGGGTGCCTCTGACTTTTGTTTTGGATTCCTCATCTTCTAAAACTATTTTCCAACATTTTAACAATATTAACGTGTCCAACTGTAGGCAGTTATAAAGTTACTTAAAAGACATCTCTGAAAACATTACTCTAAACTATTACTATTATTCCATGTAACAGGCTGCTGCTCTACTAAACTGGATTATGAAGTCTATTAAAATGAAAATACTGTCTGCTGTTCAACGTCATCCCAGCTGACAATCTTGTAAATACTGGCAATACTTCCACAGTTCTACGATTCTAGCACTCGACACACGCTACCAACATTAATTTATATGTGCATGTCCAATAATATTTGCAATATCTAACTGTCTTGGACTTAGTTGTCCTAAATAGGGAGGCACTGATATTGGAATTGTGAGCCAATGAGGATATCCAATATTCTTCATGTAAACATCTGCTGACGCTGATACATAAACATTTATAAAATGTAGAAATTGGGGCTCAATCCACTAGGATTAGCATTATGAAGAAATATTTTTATTTCTAGTGTTACAAATGTGGTAAAATGATTAAAATGAAAATATTTTAGTACAGTAGCCCAGCATCACCTAAATATTCTGCTCTTGTGAAGTTTTTTGTTTTTTTTGTTTTTTTAAGTCAATTTCTGCCGATAGGCTAACAACATCAATATACCCTACAGTCCCTGCACCTTTGATGTCTAATGTTTACAGATGCTTTTTAGGGTATTATGCGGAAAGGGGTGTATCTCATTTTCAGTATCATTGTCTAAATCATGTGAAACCCTGGAGGGGGCAGCAATCTCTGCAGTTTCCAAAAAACACTGCTGTACAATGATCATCATGAGATGGTACAGTGAGTATGGTAAATCTCATCATAAGGCTTTTTAAACCAGGAGCACAAGCTCAGCAAGCTGAAAGCAGGCTCTGAGCTGACTAATTATTTGAAAATGGTAAGAAAGCATAAGGGTATCATTGTCACTCACTATAATAGCTACGCATACAAGACACAAGAAGAGACGACAGAACAAAGAGGAGACGATGACAGAGTAATTAGAAATCTTACTGACATCACACTAGTCTACTGCGTAGCAACTTCAAATGAGTTAAACAGCACAACCTCAAACTTGTGCCCTTTACAATCACGCAGTCAACAGGACAAAGTTATGAAGTCTGACCAACACAACAGTCTGTCAGTGTTGACTTCCTGCAGATTTCTAAGTGAATCCCAAAATCCCAAACCAATTACTCAATTACTAGCTTGTTTAGAGTATAATGATCAGACAATTCTGATATAACCAAAAAATTCATTTTCTACTATATTGCACCATATTTGGCTGATATTATCCATTTTTTATTATAATCAGTAATGGTCAAATAGTTTTTTGGCTGCTACCTGGATTTTTGCCAATTTAACCACATCCATCCCAGGGTAAGTAATCTCAGCACCAGACAAAACCGTCTGACAAGCAGTTAAACACTGCTCCAAACAAACGATTTCCACCAAAGCTTCCTCTCCAGCTCAAGTTACTCTCCTTATGCATACTTCTGACCCTGTAAGGAGAGTTAGAAAACATTTCAGGAATGTTCTAACACACTGATAACACCCTCTACACCCTCTACACCCTCTCAAACTTTCCAACTGAAACACCACCAGAACAGATTCCAACGACATTAACAGTCTCTGGCTGTCCTAAATTTTCCTCCTCATTTTCTGTCTTTCTCTCGTGTTTTAGGTTAACTCGCTCTCTTCTCCTATTGTAAGAACTCAACATCATGGCAGTGCTGCTCTGTCCCTAAGGCATCTGGGTTATGGGCAAAATTAATCATCTGTGCAAGATTGCCCATTACAGCGCTGAGAGAGAATTTGCCTAGGCCTGGGGCAGAAACTCAGATGATCCTGCCAAATGCTTTCAGAACGAGAGAGTGTGACACGAAGACAGACACAATTCAGCACTGCCAACTACTGATTTGAAGAGGACCAATTCAAGGAGAACCAATAACAGGCACTCTCATTTAAAACTAAATCAGCCTGTGACGAGTCGAACATTTTAAGTCACACTGTGACTGAGCGACAGCTGATGACATTAGGGTTTTTTTTGTGTACTAAAACCATTACAGGCTCCATATTTTCAACATCCACTCCAAAGTGCATGGAAGATAGGAGCCTAAGGCCTTCCCCCTACCTTTGCTTGGCCTGTTTGTCCACATGGGTGCTTAGGCAGACATTCAGACACAACACCGCTCCAGCACTGAGCACGGAAACAACCGTGGATTAGTCTGCCTTATCTCTCTGCTAATTTTATCCTTTGATTTAGCCACTACACCTCAGCAGTCAACATCTCAGTGTAACAGAGAGGTGGAAAAGAGACCAACCATAGGCATCTGTCAAACTAGTGGGACTGGAAGATGCAGTAGTAGTTAAAAAAATTAGACATTGGGATATTTTTTCCTTATCATAAAGTTATTACCAGAATACTCTTTCAAAGAACAAAAGTGAAAACAGAAGAGAAGGCACCTTACCATTTTTCTTTATCGAAACGTTAGGTATTGGCCTATACTGATGTGAAATTATTTGTAGAAACTTATCCACATGGTTGCTAAGAGACTAAATCGACATCACTTAATGACAATAATAAGCTTTATAATGAGCTATTTTTAACTGAAGCACTTCACTAAGCGTCTATAACTAGGCCACACAAAACATTCACAAAAGAAATACACGACTAATAACAGCATTACATCACACAATGTGAGTAGGTGCTGTATTAGTTACAGGCCTGGATCAGATTCATTTTTTTTGGCCTTTCAATATCCAGTCCAGCATTTTCTGCTGATATCGGCCAGATACAGAAACCCCTATATATATACTTGTGCCATCTCTCTAATTTACATGTAGTCTATAATGCCTATATAAATTATTAAAACCCACCATGAGTAAAATACAGGGAGTAAATCAGTAAGGAAAGGGTTTCTGAGATTGCAGTGTCCATTCCAGCTGCTTAATCAGTCACTTCATGGAAATGCTGTCGCTTTCTCAGTAACCTTTCGGCACTAATTTCTCATGTAACACTGCTTTTTAAAATGATGTCACATCAAAAGGCCAAATCAACACACTTCACCTCATCTGACCAAACTAATCATTATCTTGCAAACATCTCGCCTGTGGTAACTGAGGGAAGCGGACAGGACGGGTCTTGCCCTACTAAAGCAGAACTAGAGCAATATTGTTGGCCTCATAAAATTGTTTTAATATTCCTGTCAGTCAGAGGGCTTCCCTCTGCTGAAATATGGGAGAGGAGCACGCTTGTGGCGGGCAGGAACCTGTCGAGCCCCGTAAGTCGGGTCATGTGAGTTGAGGTTAGAAGACAGGCAGGTGAAGAGAGACAGCAATGCTTCCAAGCTAAGCTGTCAGGAAACGCAGTGTTGTTCTTGTGTGAGGAAACGCGTGGAGCTACTTACGAACTTCGGCTTCTTCTCGCCTTCTTCGTTCCCATAGGTGCCGTGAGCTGAAGTTCCTGCTCCCACCACGAAACCCTTTTTTCGGTGCGTTTTGTTCTCTCGCCCTTGACCGGAGGAGTCATAGCGTTGTTGGTGGTGGTAGTAGTTCTCCATGAGGTCTAGCTGTCTAATTCTACAAGTCTAAACTTCAGTCTATCACATTGAATACGAACAACGAACTAACTTACAGGCGCATTATCTCTAATAAACAACACTAATAATTCAATCCAGTCCGGGCGTCTCCGGCGGTTTACAGCACTCCGTCTGCAGCGTGTTTGCTGGAAGCTCTCTGTCTCCGTCCGGAGCCTCAGGCCGGGCGAGATGAAGCGCTATCTCGGATTAAGTTGACGTTAGCAAGCTAATGCTGGCTAGACAGCTAGTCCAGTGAAAGCTAGCCTGTTAGCTTAGCGAGCTAACGTTAATCCAATTTCGGGCTTTTTCAGATCACTTAACCCTTTTTCTGACTCGCGTCCCGCTCGAAATCAACGTCTAACGTACCCAGATTTACAACGGTCAAGTATTTGTAAAATAATATTAGCTGTCAGACCGAAACCAAGACGGAGGGAAAACTGAAGCCGAATCGGCAAAAATCCGCCCCAAATGTGCGGCGTCCGAAAATCCCGCCGTCCGCGACAGCGCAAAACCAGCCAATCAGAAACTCCGGGCTGTACAAAGCCTGACGTAGGAGGGAAATGGAGACATTTGATTGGAGGAGACAGCGAGGGAGCCGTGTAGTTAGGAAAAAAAGTTGATAACGCCCATTTGTGTAGTAAGAGGCTTTACCTCAAGGGCAGTGCTGCACACCAACCCTTACGTAGTATGGAGTTCATATTCACCCTGAAACTACAGTTATGATTATATACAGGATTATACTGCATGTTCGCCATAATACATGACTACTAAATACTGAGTATTCTGAACAGTATGTCCAATTCCATAGGCTAATTGAGAGCACTTACTGGTGATATAATAATAACAATTCTAACAACTCAACAGTAACAGGATAATGAATAAATAAATGTATATTTACTGAAATATGTTATTATTAATATAGTTTTTCACTGTTAATCCATTACTATTAATAAGAGACAAATTGGTATAAACCTTTCAAGATATCCTTCTAATCCAGGCCCATCTACAGAAAGTTGTCCAAGATGGAACAGCCTAGCCCAAAAAATACTGCTGGATAGGCTATTGTTACTTTTTGTTTTGCACATGTGACATTTACAACTAGGGGTGGGCAACATGGCAAAAATAAAACATCATGATATGCAATCCCCCTGTAGTGCCAAAAAACTATGAAACACTATGAATACGTCATGATTCATATTCAACGTTTCACATACTGAACCGTGCTAAATCCAGTTAAACAGGACTAATTGTGCGCAGCGTCTTGTTTTGCAATGTAATGTGGTGCAATTTGTCAGAATAATGATAAATATTGTCATATGGCCACCACTATTTACAATTTCAGATTTCTGCCGCAGTGTTTGTTTCATGCTGGATATTATTTTCTACTATGTTTCATACTTGTTGCACCATAACTCTGGGAAGAAAAGCTTTCATTGTAGTCTCGTGTAAAAATGGAACGCCTCAGCTAAAATGAGGCACTCCATTCACAGTTTGGCTATCAACTCTGAACAAAAATGTGAGGCTGAAGAAGCATGCAGAACTGATTCAGAACTGAAATGACGTGTTGACCCACCCTTCTGACACACAATACACTATTTCATACACTGAAATGAACTGCATTTCCCGTTAATATCAATACAGGGCAGGACACAACAAGGCCCACAGAGTAAACAGATGTTTCGCTGTGATGTGCGACATTTGCGTGTTGAACGGAGCATTGGGCTTGCAATGTTGTGCCACATCTCCAAACAGCTATTGCTTAATGGGCATGTCATGAACAGCAGGTGGCATATTTGGGTTCTGTAACTGTTACAAATGAGAAGATGTTTGGATGGAATTGGATTTGAATTGAACACAGTTTGCGAATTAAGTTTCTGGGCATTTGCGTTTCCATCTTGATTAAACAGGAACTACACTTCTTTAAGCTTAACTTAAACAAGCTGAGTGCTTCACTGAGATTTGTGTATCCAGTTATGCATAAAGAAACTAATTATATATAAACACGGTTTATGCAGAAAGACAAACAGCAGCTTATAAATACAATTCAATGCAATCAAATCAAAAAGCAAAATAGTGGAATTGATGATTGAGACCTCTCTGGGAGAGACAGATCTGAACCATTTCTGCTGAGAACCCCTTAAGGCCACTGCAGTGTGAACAAAACTTGTGTGATGAGTGTCGTTTGCTAAGTCTACAGAATTTATATCATTATTATAACATCATATACAGCATAAAAGAGGTTTTCTCTCAAAGGCTGAACAAAGTAGTGCTGTCTAAAAGAACACTCCATTATGGCAAATTATGGTTGTATCATGGCACGTTTTCACCAATTAACTGTACAAACATTTCAGTTTCTTAATATCTATCTAGTTATGGAATAATTGAAGAAATAAATGGAGTTAAATGGAGTTGTGGAATATTTGAATTCATATTGTTTTATTGTTTTTACCTTACTTATGTGTATTCTATGTTTGTCTTGTATATATGCTCCTAGAACACTAAATTCTCTTTGGGGATTAATAAAGTGTTAAGTGTCTTAAGTCATTAAAATCATGCCTGAAACCTCTCCTCTTTCCAGTCTGACACCCTATAAATAATTAATTCTACTTTCTGTTTCCTGTGACAAAGTTTTCCTCTGCTTGATCTGTCAGGTCTACCTCTGTCCATCAAAATGGGGGTCTGGCCTTCTAGCTCCAAGCAGAAGCCACCCAGAACTCCAGCACAAGTTCTCTCCTCTTCCTCAGTCACACAAAAAATTAGTGCACAATTTCTATTTATTTGTTTCTAACCATATTGGGAAAATGGTGCCATACCTTTTGGATAGTCCACATTTTATGTTTTTTTTTTCCCCAGTGTGTCAAATTCAGAAAATAAACAGTAATAGCCCATTTAAATGTGTAAAGCGTGTTCTCATTGGATGATGTGTTAACTTGTTTTCATGTCATTAACAAAACATGTAATTTTGATAGGGGTGCCTGAACGTTCGCATATGACTGTAGGTGCACTTTGTAGGCTTACAATTATAAACTGCAGCCCATCTGTTGCTGCACAATTTATCAGCCCCCCTCTACCCTATCCATCAATGAAAACGACCACCACAGGACCACCGCTGACTAGATATTACTTGGTTGGTGGATCATTCACAGCATAGCAGTGACACTGAGAGGTAGTGCTTTGTCAGTGTATGTTTCACTGTGATCTGTTTACATGTATTGGCTAACTTTTTAGACACACTTGCCTTGTTGGTGCACTTTCCAGGTATACAGTCAGAGATTGTAGGTCACCTTTGTCCATGCACAATTTGACAGTCATCCTCTGGCTATTTTTAGTTTGCAAACTATTCTCAACCAAACAATGATACTGAAGTGTGTGAAACAACACAACACAGTGCGCTGCCGTGTTGACAATCGTCCACCCAAATAAGTGGTGGTGGTTCTATGGTAAAACCTTTCCATTGTTGGTTAAGGTAGAGGGGGCCTGATAAATTGTGCAGCAACAGATGGGCTACAGACAGTACGTATAAACCTACAGAGTACCTGATAAAATGACCGACAAGTATTTCTTTTGTCCACTACCCCTCTGTGTATATAAGCAATATATTGATAGAAAAAAATTACATCACTTTTATTGTTGACTTTTCTGAAAGTTTTAAAGGGGTAACCCATTAATTTAGCAAAATATCTGCATAACTAAACAGTTAAAATATAGCCTATAAGTTATTTAGAGTGGTTTGATTTGAAACCTTTCCTTCTAGCACAACTTACAGTCAGACTTAGGGTCAAACAAATTCCACCAATTGTTCTAAATTTCTGAATAATCCAATCCTTGAAATGTAAACAAAGTCATTCAGAGTAGTTTGATGTATATATATGTAAATATTTCATGTTGCATTTTTCTGTAAGGGAGCTTTTAGAGTCATTAAACGCTTCATACATCTGGTTCCTATCCCCACCTCTGTGAACAATTCTGACTCTGCACAATTCTCTACAACGGAGCATTTCACACTGAACCACTCTGAATGACTTTATTTACATCCTAAACATTTAATTATGCAGACATTTTGAGAAATAGGTGAGATTCCCCTTTAAAGCCCCCAAGAATTACATCACAGGGTTATTACATGGTTACGCTGTCTGATGTTTTGAGATAAAGTCTTGCCCGAAAACATACATGATGGGCAGGTACATGCAGCGTGTTGAAAAGTGAAATAATACCCTAAGAAAACTTTTTTTTTTCCAGCTTTAAACATCTCCACAATTAAACTATACAGAATGAAGAAAAAAAAACCAGTGGAATAAGTATTTAGGGATCAAGTCAACACACAGTCAACTGCAGAAGAACCATACTACCACAATCCTGAACGCCGATATTTTTTTGGGGGGGAGGACTGAATATCATATGGATATTACAGCTAAAGATGTACTCACTCCTTATGACTGTAAACAAGTCTTGGTAATAAATCGTGTATAGCAATGCATGTATCTTCAAAACAAAAAAAAATATATTAAACATCTGTCAACAATGATCCTGTATCCTACTCATCATTAAAATAATTCTGCACTGCTTATTGAAGAATTATTTAATGTTTCCTTTTGCAAACGTATTTGCATGGCTGTATACTGGTGTACTAGGTGGTGTCTGTCTAAAGATAATTACAAGACAGCATTTCAGTGAACATCACAATATATTTATTCACCATTTACCAGATAGATTTTCATCTCTGTACAAGCAATATAGAGAGATTCTGACAGCATATACTCTTTCTATCTTACAATATTCATTTACATAAATGTACACGGGTTGGATATAAACCTGTTCCAAAGTACAACATATATATATTTCATTGCACAATTTACTAGAGCTTTTCCGTGGGTTCTTCGAGGCTGTGCACATTTCAGTTTATCTGGATGGATCAGGAGCACAGGTGACACGAGCAGGCTCAGTCGGTACCGTTTTACGACAGTGAAATGGAAGAAGCTTCTTTAATACCTCCTGCAGTCTCACAGATAGAAGTCTTTGGATCATGCATTGTCAGGCCACTCAGCATTTGATTCACATGATTGTCAGTTCTCGAGTCCATTGTTCGGATACAGCAGAATTGGTGAGTTGTTACTCCTCTTGATATAGCTATGTTGGCACATTAAAAACAGTCTGAAACCATGTGCACTTCTCAACATGTCCACAAGGGGAAGTACTGTGCAAAACACTTATTTTCCTCCACGCAAACCGCCAGTGCATAATGAAGTCAGTGTAAATTATTCACATATATGTACACAAACATGCACACCCACACGCATACACACCCTCTTTCAGACGCACACTGTGAAACATGTTTTACACACATTAACACACGCACGGAAAGACATGCTCATCATGCATGTTACACTTCAGTCTTCAGCAATGTTCCTACAACACATTCACACACAAACACACTCACACACTAGAGCTTGAAATACTTGTCCAAACCTGATGGGACCAAACTGCACGTCAGGTTCCGTCAGATTCAGACGTCATATCATAAACGTCAAATTTCAGGTTTGGGCTCTCACAGCTTCCAACTTTAAACAGATTTTACTCTGTATTTCCCCCTCTTTAGTTTGCCTCCTTACTTCCTCCCCACTTTTATAACCTTAAACCAATGTTAACATGACATGCTGGAGTCACCCACTCATGAATTTAGCACCAAGATCCATGAGGCTCATAACTGGGAGAAAATGGAGGAAAAAAAACCTAGGGATGTTGTTTCAAAGCACTTTTTCATATATTTTTAAAATGGGATTGAAACTTCTTTTTTGGACAGTTGATTTATTTATATAATAAATTTATATCTTTAATTTATATCTATTTTTTTTATCCAAGACATAAGGTCAGGTTTTACTCGGCACTTTAGGTGTGGATAGGCTGGTGCAGTCCAGTTTGTAACAGATTTTGTTGTACTCTGGTCTGTTTCTGTCTAAAACTTGATATGGTTTGGATCAAGTTTGAACAGAATTTTATTGTACTCAGGTTGAGTTGGGTCTCGAAACCTCATGTGCTTTGGGCTCGGAAAATTCTTAGACTGTATTTCAGGCCAGATTAAGCTCTATGTACCACACACACACACACACACACACACACACACAGCTACACCCTGCAAAACTAACTACACCTGTGATATTATCTGCATATTAAAACTGGATGAGCGGGACTGTTTGGACAGAGGGCTTCCAGAAGAAAAGGGGCTTCCTGGTGAGAGGAGGTCCTGGCTCCTCGCTGCGCGCACAAGCTGCTCTTCCTGCAGGCTAATAGCAGACAAACAGTGGGCTCTATCTGCACTGAGGCTGCCAAGCGACAAACTATCAGTGGGCCCTGAAGAGCCGTTGAGGCCAGTGCAGTCTAGAGACTTACTGGAGGACGTGCTACCAGTTCTGGGCGGAGGGCCGGCAAAGGGGGGAATGTAATGGGGGTCCAGGAACCTCCTTGTTGTGCTGGGGCTGGGGCTGCGGCTGCTCTCCGCAGTGTGGAGGGTGATGGAGGGTGGGGGGGATTGGTGACGCTGATGAAGTCTGCGCAGGGCCGCTCGTGTGTCGGCCGCTGTGTTCTCTCTGTGCCGTGCTGTAGGGTCCCGGGACCCTCGAGCTCCAGCAGCCCAGTCTCGTTTAACACTGCTGGGCTGGCTGCTGCTGGACGCCCCTGAGGAGAAGCCCTCGTCAGGGTCAAAGGAGTCCTCTCCACAACTCACACCATCAGCGTCTGGTGCAAAGAGAGGGACAGGAATAAAACTCTAAATGATACGTTAGGTAACAAGCCTGTTTATATCAGTGTTGGGATGGGAATCACCAAAGGCCCCACAATGGAATATTACAATACTAGGAAATATGACCATATCAATATCATATCTGTATCGGTAGATAACTGCTTTAAAAGAATCATCGGCACTGGACAGATGCTTAGGTCTCACCGACATTTCAAACTCATATTTGATGGTGTATATATTGTACTCTGAAGAGCAGAACGTTTACATGATGCAGGGTGACTAAAATAAAATGTTTATTTTATTCATTTTACTCCACTCTTAACCTTATAGAAATACATGTTACATCTCTCTGTAAAGTTAATCTACATAAATATAGCCCCAACATCTGCATTATATACAGCTGTATGCAAAGGTTTGGGCAAATTACATTTTGTCGAGTTTCTAAGTAAAAATAAGTCCACATATTCTACAGAGAACATACTGCTGCACATGTTAATGCACAATTACTGCTGATTTGCTGAGTTTAACATATTGGTTATGAGACATTTTACATTTTGTGCTTTATTTTTTCCAATGTTAAACTCAATATGTTAAACTCAGCAAATAAATAGAAATTGTGCCCCAAAATTTGCAGAAAACATCCTATTTAAGTTTCGTCTTTGTAGAAAATGTGTTAACTTTAACAAAACACAGAACCAGTAGTATTCAAACTTTTGCATATGACTGTAAAACTTGTATCAGCATTGGTATTGGCAGCGGCAGATATGTGCATGAAAAATACTGGATATGAGCATCGACCCACAATTCCCATATCCATGTATACCTACATGATACTTGAGCCACAATATGATTCTAGTACATTTTTTACCCACTAGTGACATTATTAATCATGATACTTGAGCCATGATATGATTTTTTTGTAATTTCTAAAGACATGCTAAGTATAATGATTTTATTCTATTCGTCAACCAACTGATTTAACACACATTAAAATAATAATTTAATAGTACAATGTATCAATACCATCAATTTTTTCATTCAGAATATTACAAATTCTTTGCTACATCAATTTTTTTTTCCCAACCCGACATTGGTAATCCAAATCCACTGATTATCACAAAAAATAATTGATCATTCTAGCAGTCAGGACACCACTCACACTTCAGTAAGTAATTTTTCACAGCCAGAGAGAACTACTACACAGCACTACAAAATACCTGGGTTATCAAGCTAACTTTGGGTTATACGTCATTATAATAAGTTACTTTATAAGGAGGACATCCTGAGGCTCCGTTTTTCTTCTAGTGTAGTGAACATATTAGGTTTGTTTTGGGACACACCCCTCAGACAGCTTGATCAGGAACACATCCATTGAAAACAAGCCTAATTCTGTGGACTGGGATTGGTCTAAAGCAAGGGTGGGGGACCGGAGGGCCTGAGTCCTGGACAGTTTGGTAATTTCTCTGCTTTAGCATACTAATTAGTCTGAGCAGTAAAATCTCCAAACTGTCCATTGATCTGGCTTTCTAGGACTGGAGTCCTCCACCCGTAGTCTAATGGGTGGGCCAATAAACACATTCTATAAGTAACACAGGTGGATCCACAGGGGGATTTTCTACAAGTTGAGATGTTCTCCAGCCCTGCATACCCCCTCGCATAGTCAGATGGATGGTGCACTTTGTCCACCCATGTGGCACAGGATTGGCTGGTTTTCCAGGGGGAGAGTATCGACTGGGAGTGATGGAGGCGTAGAAATCGGCCGTGGTCGAAAAATCAAAACGATCTGAGGTGAAGACAGTGAGCATTCTAAACATGAGACTGACACTGGGCAAGGCCGGGACAATAAAATGCCGGCAACTGCCTGGCAGCAAACTGAATTTATACATATGGGAAATGTAGTGGAGGAATGTACAGAGACTCACTGAAAGTACCACCAACATTACTAGATAATGTAAATAAATATAATTATTAACATGACAGAAAATCTGTGAAATTCCTCAACAATGTACAGACAAAGAACGACACTGAAAAAGAAAAAAATGAGATTCTCAGTTGAAAAGCAAACTTCTTTCAGCTTTAACTTCATGTCGTATGTGTATTTTACACATACATAGAGTCGTGAGCGTGTGTATGCACATACCCTCTCGTTTCCAGCGAAGTCTGCGGATGGAAGCAGCAGTGATGGCTGTCTGAGACACACGTTTGGTTGTGGGGGTCACGTCTACCTCCAGAAGATTCCTAGTGCCCTCCGGTGGTCGAGGTGGCAAAGATCTATTCATAGCATTCGCTACCTAATGGTCAAAAGGATGGCAGAGTTTTATTCTTAATATTCCTAAAACACATACATTTCATGCTATAAGTTCGGAATGTTTGCGTTATATATTTCTCAGTCTGAAACTATATATTCTATCAACAAAATATATTCATTCAGTCTGAAACTGAATTCTATGCACTGGTTATCTCTGAAGTGTCCAGTATAAACAAGATTGCGTTTTGCTGCCATCTTGTGGTCATTAAGATATCACAGCACACAAAACACAGATTTGGGCATATGAGATTACACCAATCAGGCATAACATTATGACCACCTCCTTGTTTCTACGCTCATTGTCCATTTTATCAGCTCCACTTACTATAAAGGTGCACTTTGTAGTTCTACAATTACAGACTGTAGTACATCTGTTTCTCTTCATACTTTGTTAGCCCCCTTTTACCCTGTTCTTCAGTGGTCAGGATGCACTTGTACCAGCGCAACACACACTAACACACCACCACATTAGTGTTACTGCAATGCTGAGAATGATCCACCACGCAAATAGTACCTGGTCTGTAAGAGTCCATGAGGGTCCTGACCTCTGAAGAACAGGGTAAAAAGGGGGCTAACAAAGTACGCAGAGAAACAGATGGACTAGTCTGTAATTGTAGAACTACAAAGTGCACCTATATAGTAAGTGGAGCTGATAAAATGGACAATAAGCATAGAAACAAGGAGGTGGTCATAATGTTATGCCTGATCGGTGTATATTGTTGAGGCAAATTGTTATGTACTAGCGACAGGAAAAGGCTGTTACCAGTAATGGCTGGGCATAAAGTTCTAGCTGTGCTCTATACAAGATGTCCTCCAAAGCTTCTCTGCCGAGTTCCCACTGGCCATTGTAGCTGTGTTAAAGGGACAGCACATAGCGTCAGCATTCTGTCTAGACAGTAAACACATACATGAGACATAAACGATCTTTCATAACTTCACCTTGTCATCACCTTCAATTTCTGGGAAGTGGACAAACAACAATGCAAGTCGTCAGTAACATGACAGATCTTTTCGCTAGCTTGCCTGGCTCAACCATAAATATCTATGCTTGTACAATTTATTTTGCAAGTTTATTCTGTCACTTCTGCTATGAACTACGGCTGCAGAATATGGACGTTGAATATGACTTTCGATAAAAATGTTGATTCAAAAAAATGTCTCTCTGACTAGGTGTGAAACAACTACAGACTTATTGTTCTGTGTAGTTGAAAGGAAAAAACTAACTAACCTCTTATTCTTCTTCAATATAAAAGTCCCTTTCACTACGGCACATAGTGCAAAATAAAAATAATGAAATACTACTTTAGAAATGCAATTACACTTTTTGTGCATCACATGACTGTTAGTAATACCACCAGCACTGCCAGACAGAGGGCTTTTTTATAAAAGCCTACACAATAAATACATATTGAATTAGTAAAAATGCTCCTTATGCTGACAAAGATTTGCTGTGACAGTAGCCATTACTGCTTCACATATTTTACACACAATACTGGCAATGAGAATTTTTATCATGACTGACGCATTACAACAGGTTAGTTAGTTAAGGATAAAGTACTTTTTGGGCTGTGCACACGTGTTTGCAGGTGCCTCTATAGCAGAGCGGTTAAGTCATTCACTCTACATCCTGGGGTTCAAAACTCCCTTGGGGAAGCACATCTCTGCTCCAATATTAGAAAGAGCTCCTGACGGTACATTCCTGCCAATATAATTCTGTCTTTGAGCACATGTTCAAAAGACATGTCTATCACAGAAACTCATCATTATGGCAATAAAAATAAGATTAATCATTCAAATCTACCATGAACTGATAAGTATGATAAAATAGGGTAATTCATTAGATAGAACATGCAGTAATGGGAACGGAAATCAAAACAACAAGAATAACAACAATAATAACATTTGATCCAAAATTGTGCTAGATGCACTAGTGCAGTGGGCATATGCACAAACTGTTCAAAGAGCAGCAGTGCTGGCTGAGAGCACTGAACTCTTTCCAGATGGCTGAACGAGGCTCCAGTTCAACTAAACAAATTATCACAAAGAAGTGGAGCAGATTCAGGAGGGCAACAAGCCCAATGAGAGCACGGCACATAGCTGGGTGGCTAAAGGAAATGGGTTGAATAGAGCTAGGGGACAGAACTAACAGCCCCTTCTGCACTGGTGGAACAAGGGTTGACGAACTCACATTGCATGATAAACTGCCGTCAGCATTTGCACCATGAACTCCGGGTCCAGACGCACACGGTTGCAGGGCTCCCTCCATAACTTCTGCTGTTGCCGTGGGTAACCGCACACACACAATCTGAGCAATGAAAACAGAGAAAAGGTTGATGAACGTAAAACAGAAACAGAGAATGGGAAGTACAGGAAGTGCAGGCCGCCTGACAGAGAATCATTAAAGACTTGTTTATTCATGGAATCATTAATGATTTGTGTATTCATGGAATCATTAAGGACTTGCTTATTTATGCATTTGTATGGTAATGCTGTGGCCAACTGAGGGCCTTTGCTCTTTGTGTCTAATCAATATCCCATTCATTTCCTCCCCGTCTGGCTCTCTCCTTCCAGTGGGAAAAGTAAGCCAGAAAAATAGAAAGAGCAAAGGGGAAAGAAGAAGAAGACTAAAGAAAGAAAGCACAACAGAAAGAAAGAAAGGAACAAACAAACAAACATGCATGAAACGATACATTTATGATGAAGACTGAAGAGAGTATTACCGTGAGCTCATTCTGCAGGCTGATTGGTGGGAGGATGCAGGCATGTAGACCACAGCAGAGTTGTAGCAAAGCATGAGGAACGACAGCACCTCAAACCTAAAGCAAAACACAGTACACAGAATTTGCCTTTTCTTACTTCATATACTGCATTTGAACTGCAATGACCATTATATAATTTTTCAAAACATTCTACTCCGCAATCTTGAAGAAGATAAAGATTAGTTATTTATCTGCATACAGCCCTACACTGCAAGTACTAGGATTGCCCCCAATCCAGTTTTACTGCCCTCTGATTTGATCCGAGTACCTTAATGTTAAGTATCAGCCGGTATAGTTCTAATCCAATCTGATCTTTGCGTTTTCACAGATAGCAGAGCCACACAAATTAAGTAAGACAAGCTAGTCTGGTAATTAATAGCTGAACACGATTGTTTTTAATTTACAGGCCCCCCTCAAAAAAGTTGTGATGCTGTGCAAAATGCATTAAAAATAGAATGTAATGATATGCAACTCATGTAAACCCTATATTTCACTGAAAATAGTGCAAAGACAACATATGAAACTGAGAAATTCTATTGTTCTTAAAACAATTTATGCTTATTTTGAAATTGATGCCATCAACACGCTCCAAATAAGTAGGTATGGGGGCATGTTCATCACTGTGCTGCATCACATCTTCTTTTAACAGCACTCTGTGAGCGTTTGTGAACTGAGAAGACCAATAGCTGTAGTTTTGAAGGTAAAATGTTTTCTTTTTCTAGTTTGATATGGGATTTCAGCTGCTCAACAGTTTGGGGTTTCCGTTGTTTTATTTTTTGTTTCATAACGCACCAAATGTTTTCGATGGGTGACAGTTTAGTTTTACTATAGCCATGCTGTTGTAAAGGGCAGAATTATTTGATTCGATTTTGTTTTTCATCAATTGTGTCTTGTAATTGAAAAATGTGGCAAGAGTGAAGTGCAATAGCCACACACTCACATTTTAATTGCCCATATAAAAAGCGTAAACAGAGCAGGATAACAAAAACAAAAGATCAGAAATGAATCTTCCTTATTTTAGCCAACATCCAATCCATTAAATTATACCTATATTAGCCCCAACTCAACTAGTAAATTTTAAAACTATTGAAAAGCTGCCTTTTTGGTGCTTTTTGAAATAATTACTATTAAGTGAAAAAGACACAATGCCGCCATCAACTGGTCAACAACAGCTCTAAATTGGAGATGAAGGCTCTTATAACTGAGACTGTCAGAGCGAGCATTGCTTAACTATATTACGATAATTTAAATGTTTATTCTGCAAAGCCTGCCTGCCTAATAAGGAAGCACTATTAAATTACTCTTCAAGAAGTTCAGTTTTGTGTATACAGAGGACTGTACAGGCAGAGAGATTTTATGTTTTGACAAAACTTGGGCTTAATAGCAGGACAACTGGCAAAAAAATGACAGTACGTTCCAAAAACATCATCTCACAATAAAGCATGAAACTTTCCTCATCAGCAAAGACTGAGGCTACTGTAAAGAAGGAAAGCAGAACAGACCAAGTACAGTGCATTATGATTAGAAATTGAACTTGAGAAAGAGGTACATTCTTTAGTGCCCAAGGCAGCTGAGCTTAAATATTAGTGAGCAGCAGCAAAAGGCAAAAGGTAATGCAGTAGCATTAGATACAGCTATACCTAAATTCAAACTAAAGATCTTTGGCACGGCCTAAAGATCAACTGTGATTAGTACTATGCAAGAAACAGAATGTGACTAGACTTACAAATAGAAAGGCAAATATTGACCAATAAACAGATGGAAAGCTTGGGTTTATTGGGCTCATAGCTGTCTCATAGCTGTTTTTGCTGACAGAGGCGCATCTGTCAACTGGATTTCCAGTGACTTAACACTTATACAAATTCTGTATGCTAGTGTTGCACTCATGCACCCACTGCTTTAGAGCTAGAACTACAGGTCAACATTTCAATGCCTGCATTTTGTGCTTGCAGCCTCAAAGAAATACACTATATGAACAAATGTATTGGGACACCCCTCCTTATTACTGAGTTCAGGTGTTTCAGCCACAATCATTGCTAACAGGTGGATAAAATTAAGCACATAGCCTTGCAGTCTCAATGGACAAACACTGGCTGCAGGATGGGTTGTACTGATGAGCTCAATGACTTTAAACATGGCACTGTCGTAGGATGCCATCTCTGCCACAAGTCAGTTTGTGAAATTTCTGTCCTGCTAGATCTGCCCCTGTCAATTGTAAGTGCTGTTATTGTGAATTGGAAGCATCCAGGAACAACATCTTAGCCACGAAGGTAGACCATGCAAACTCACAAAGTGGGGCTGCTGAAGTGCACAGCGAAAAAAGCACGCTGCCACTGGACTCTGGAGCAGTGGAAACGTATTCTGTGCAGTGACAAATCATGCTTCTCTATTTGCCAGTCTGATGGACGAGCCTGGGTTTTGGCAAACGTTACCTGCCTGACTGCATTGTGCCAACCATAAAGTTTGGTGGAGCAGGGATAATGCTATGGAGTTGTTTTTCAGAGGTTGCTCTAGGCCACTTAGTCTCAGCGAAGGGAAATTTGAATGCTTCTGCATACCAAGACATTTTGGACAAATAGTATGCTTCTAACTTTAAGATAACAGTTTGGGGAAGACCCTTTTCTGTTCCAGCATGACTGAGACCCAGTGCACAAGCAAGGTCCATAAAGGCATGGTTGTGTGTGAGTTCCCTGCAGAAGAACTTGACTGGCCCCGCACAGAGAACTGTTACAGGTACAAAGGGGGGACCAACTCCTCATTAATGCCTATGGATTTAGAATGGGATAACCACAAAAGCGCCTGTAGGTGTCCATATAGAGTATGCAACAGGGGTGCAATCACAATCCATTTCTCTGAAGGTGGGGATATAGTTGCATCTGTTAGAATTAGAATCCATCCATCCATCATCTAAACCGCTTATCCTTCTGGGTCGCGGTGGGGTGCTGGAGCCTATCCCAGCTGTCATCGGGCGGAAGGCAGGATAGAATTAGAATAAATTATAAATTATATTGAATAAAGTATGTACCCATTTATTTCGCCAAAATAAAATAAAAAACTAATAATAGTGTTTTGTCATTGCATATACAGTTCCTCCTATCATATTTGTATATTCAGTGTTTTTTTAAAAATAATATAGGGTTTCTGGTCCCAGAGATCTACCACCCTGCAAAGTTGAGTTCCAAGCCTGATTTAACTCCATTTTAACTGTTACCTTCTGCCTCTCAACCCTGAAACACTCTAAAGTGCCGTCTTAATGTTTTAAAGCATGTACAGGGAACGAGGACTTCATAGCGCCAGTAGACAACATTGCTAGTTAGTGATACTAGATGTGTGGCTACGCAACACACAAAAGCATGGCACTGCTGGCCATAAATAAACCAAATAACAACACAAACATCTGACAGCTCCATCACAGCTCAATTATTCTGAACACAGCAACACCATGTTTACTTGTAATGCACAGTTAAACATAGTTGCCTAATAATCACCTAATATTGCTGCACGAAAGTTACTGGCATTAGCTGCACAGTGCTAGCTTGCCACAATGGTGAGAGGCTTTCTTCCCTTTTTTAGCTCAGCACACACCTTCAATCTCACTATTTTATCTTAGAATGATAAAGGGATGCCACTGGAGTATGAGATTTTATGGAAAAGTCATTCTCAAAATGTTATTTAATTAGCTGCATATATCTGCAATCCGTGTTTTATCCATGTCATGTTGTTAGCTGCATATTTCTTCCTGTGGGGTAGCAGCATGTTTGAGAAGTCTGAGCATAAGCCTACTTTTAGAAGCTTAAATAAGGAGTTTCAATTAAAAATAGCTCATTGTGGAAATCACCAACTCTGCTGGACACGTGCCCCCTGGACTGCAGACGAACACCCATGCCACAGTGGAACAAATTGAACAAACTGGAGCTGCAGCATTCCCACATGGTACCTGTTCTGGGAGGTGAAGGTTTCTCTCTGGGGCAGCAGGCCGCAGTACACCACTCTGATCAGGTCATGCTGGCTTAGAGCTCCCTCTGTCAGTGCCATGGATCCTAAACTGGAGGGCTACAACACACAAACACCTACATAATGACCCGACAAACCAAAAAGCACATGGAATTTACACAGCATAACTGTTTTTGCACACATCATATCTGTGGTACAAATTCAATTGGTCCTTAGAGACAAGAGGCAACACTTCAAATTACAATTAGAAATTCACAATTCCTCTCATCAACCTTCCTGAAACTTTGTTTTCAGCTCTCCAACTACCAACTGACACTTAAATTTTGTCTAGATGATTACATCAGACATCATGTTCTCATTTCTGCACCTAGAATGGTTGCTTGTTGTTGTTGTTATTATTAACCCAATTGTCCCCATAAGTGATTTAGAAAATGCTTGCTGATGGAAAGAAAATGTGCATAGAGGAAATTGCTCACTATAAGCAGGACTGAAAGAGCCAGACTGCAAACAAGCAAAACAAATCACAATCAAATTGTTTCCACATGTTTCAGCTGCAGCAGGAAACAGCAATAAAGCGCTACGTGTTTTATTCTTTTAACAGTATAAGAAGTATTTTGTTTCATCACTGCTCTATTTAGAAAGAATGCATTTTGTAAGTGGGTGCGATAATGAAAAATATAAATGTGATGACATTAGCTTAGAAAATCTACCAAAGTACTTCACGTTGTATATTTTCGTTACATGTAAAGAAAGCCAAATCTCCTTATATGGATTATGAAAATCCATATCCTCCCATGGTCTATTCTATGCTTTTACTGATACAAGGCTTGCCAGCATGGGAGGGTCTCTACATCACATTGGATATTTAACACAATAGTGCCTAAAAATGTTTGTGTGATTGCTTACCTCATGGTATATGGAAGGCTTTGAGAGAGAGGGTATAGTGAACGACAAAAGCTTGCTGTTTCCCTTACTGTCCACAATCTCCTAGAGATAAACATGAAAGAGGACAGAGAGAGAGGTCAGCATGAGTGCAGCATTTTGACTTTGCCCTTGGCCCTCGCTGATCCAACGTGTGTCATGGCTCACCAGGTTATAGATGCCCAGCAGCAAGGCCTCTACACAGCCACTGCGATGGCGCTCCCTGCTGGCAATGTGGCGCAGGTACACCCAGATAAGCTCAGGCAGGAACTGCAGGGTGAAGCGGCGCAGGCCCACCTCTGTGCTCCGGTACAGCTCAAACAGCTGGTGACACACCGGGGCCAAGAGCTGCAGAGAAAAACAAACAAAACAGCAAAATGAAAAAGACAGAAGTTGTGAGATAATGGCAACAAAAACATGAAAGAAAGACTATCAAACGATAGAAAAAAGAAGAATGTAAAATGAAAGGAACGAGACAAAGCATTTGTTTCTCTGAGACAATGCTGAACGTCAGCCCTGTAGAACAACATGGCAAAGTTCAAACAGTTACAGAACAGTAGATAAGTGCTGACAGCAGGACTCCTCTCACAAGAAAAATACAGTCTGGAGTGTAAAAAGCCAGAAAAATGAAAAAAAGAAGAAGGCGGCCTACCTCACTGCTGGGGTGCTCCTGAATAACGGCATACAGAGCGGGCACCAAGCCTTTCTTCAGACGCAAGCGGCATGTATAGCCAGGGATCAGATCATCAGGTAACGTCTATGGTAGAAAAGTGAAGGAAGGAAGAAGAGCTGCTTCAGGGTCAGATACATTAGCAGTCAGTTTTCAGCTGGTAATGAATTATGTTACATCTCCAAAAATGTGTTGAATTCTGCATTCACTTCACAACCCTCTCCCCATAAAAAAAAGCATAACTTTTTTAGTTCTGAACAAAAAAAAAGTGCTTTCAGTCTTTGTAGAACATATGAGAGGAATCAATAATGGAACTGAATCTATGTAAACCTTAACTGACACAGAAAATGGTAAAGAAAGTGTTTTAATAGCCCTCGAAGCAGCAAAGAACTTCTTACCTTGAATTCTGAGAGCCACTCCTCCACCACACCACGTTCTGGACAGAGCATGGTCCACCTTAAACAGAGAGAGATTAACAATTTGGTTTTCTTGTGGTTCTCTTGTCAAAGAGTATGAAAATATACGCTAATAAAACTCTCTCTGCAAGGATACATGCTAACAAATTTACCATTATCTACGTAGCTAACAAATAAGCAAACATTCCTCTTAAAGCACCCAGTTATGAGCTAGTACTTTTGTTAGTGTTGTAAGACCCATGACACGTTAGAGAGAATGCATTTCTCTTTCTTTTATTCTTACTATCTATGTGTCTCAACCCAACTGTTGAAAAGGTAGCCGATCCACAAAATATAAAGCAAATGATGGCAGTCAGCTTAAATAATTGTGACTTTCCTATTAAGAACAAATTGAGTATGAAATTTAAAATATGTTTTAATAAACGAGGCAAAAAAATCAGGCCAAAATCAGCCAATTTGAAGGGGAATTTCAATTTTTCAAATTTCAAATTTTCTGCATAATTAAATGGGTAGGATGTAAACAAAGTCAGTGAGAATGGTTTCTAGAGATATGGAGGTGACTGGAACCAGTATCTCTAGTTTTTAAAAGTTTAATGCCTCTAAATGCTACATCACATTACATGAAATGGTTGTGAATGCCTGAGACACTGTTTTATGATAGTTTTGATATGACTTTGGACTAAAACGCATATGAGGTGTTCCAAGTAAAAACAGTGCCCAAAGAAAACGGATTTACCACTACTTTAGCATTATTAACACGTCACACTGTGACCCCTAGCTCCAACCATCACCACTGTAATGAAATCCAAGTCTGTAAGTTTCTCTTCAATGAACCATTTCACATCAAACCACTCTAAATGACTTTGTTCATATATTAGTAAATGAATGATGCTGAAATTTTGAAAGACTGGTGGAATTCCCCTTTAAACCCAGAAGTCAAGCATGACCAACAGGAGAGGAGTTAAGGTCCATTACCACTTGACAATCCACACTAGGGAGAAGTGATCCAGCTTACTGAGAAAATCCTGCTTCATGAACTGCCCCCCTGATCTCACCTCGCTCACTCAGGCTTCAGTGGTGTAGAGGAGGGAGGATCTGACTCTGACTCTTCATCTTGTCTGTTGATCTACTGATCGCTGGTCGAACAGCCTGAGGAGAAAGAGCAGAGTGAAATGCTGCCATTTCTACCTGCACCTGTACTGATAGGATCACAGTTACTAGACTAATGTGTGTGTGTGTGTGTGTGTCTGTGGGTGTGTGTGTGTGTAAGCTGAAATGATATGAGGGAATTCTGCATACTGTTCCCATGTGTGCTCCAGACAAAGTGTCCTGTCCTAATTAAAAGATATCACAGAGCGGTTTGAGAGAAAAAGAACATATGCTACACATGCTGAACAAAATCTGGCTTCTGTCAACATTTCCTGCCCCACAGGAGCTTCACGCAGCCTTAAGTGACCCAAAAACAGTGTAAATGCACATGAATATCAATAGGTGGCAACACCACTGGCAGCGATGCACCACCTATGGACAAAACTTTCCATTACCAAGGTCATCATGTAATCTGAAGACTGATGCAAGGTTTTAGAGATGATCAACTGATTTTCTCTCTGTTTGGCCAAGCAATATCTGCTTCAACATGATACGCTGATGTCTCAGTTCAATACATAGGACTATACTGCAAAAATAATGACTGCCTGTAAAATATACCTTTTGTCAGTTAGGTGCACCAGTCATAACATTTATGACCAATTCCAATTTCTTTATGGCCAAATTGGCTATAAAGTACTTTTTTGTTTACTTTTTAAACCCAAAACTCAGACATTGTAGGCTAAGTGAGTATATGAAGCAAACCAGTACCAGTACTTTGTATTAGCGAAGGTTGCAACATAAATTACATTATTTACTCCTAAACAGGGAAAACTGCCATTCTAAATTCTTAAACAAAAAACAGGTGGTGAGGAGAATCAGCCAAGATCAGACTTGGCAAATCAGAAAATTTACTGTTTTTATTTCAGCAGATCTGTGTTGAAAACTTTAAAACATAAATAATGTAATCCAGGTAAGTGCATTCAAACTGTATCTGAATGCTGCTTCTCCACCTGTACCAAAATGTCATAGCATAATCATGCATGACTCACTGCTAAACAGCCAGTTTCGATACAGCACTTTATTTGATTCATGTTACTTAAATAGGGAAATTATGTAAAACTGAAAAATGTACAATGTCAGTTTAACCCATTAAGGATGAAATAATATTGTTGATAGTGATTTTTGATAATAAAAAATGCTGGAAAGTTGCTAGTGTGTTCCATACATACCTTTAGAACAAACAGTGTTGGCTTCATGTTAAAAAAAAGGGCAACTGGTCAATTTGGCTATTTACCAATCCCTAACAGTTGCCCATTTCTAAACAACATGAAACTGAATAAAGTGCTACACTGAGGCAACTAGGTATTTAATACAAATCATTTGGATGTGGGTGCTTACCTGGCTTAGGGTATTTAACTCATAAAACTGATTCCAAACTCAGTCAATTCTGATAACGCACCTCCAGTTAACAGGTTAAAATGTTAAATGTTTCCTTTTCCAGAGCATTCAGCATAAAACTACAACATTTAAGACTTTAGAAGTGGCACAGTGGAGTTTTCGCCCCACCCATTTGGACTGGTTTCTTAGCAGCATAAGCGCTAAACAAAAGCTGTGCTTCACAAGGCAACAAAATGATCTCAGCTTAATAACCATTGCACCACATTGTTTGACTGCTTTCTTACTGTTACAATGACTGACAGATCAGGGTGATGAGTGTGTAGATAACTGGACCAAAGCAGCTACAAGTTAACTTGAGCTAAAGCGCTAACCACAAGCTAATGTGTTAGCCATGAGTTAATATATTAGCTTCAAGCTAACACCGTAGCCACATGAGCTCATGTAGAGTGGGCTTTCCCCATTTGTACACAATTCTGAGGAGACAGGAAGATCATTGTGGGCTTGTTTGATTTTTTTTTTTACACCTCATGCAATGTTTTCAGTATTATGAGTACTTTATTTGCTTCATTTGCTTTCAGATTTCAAACTTCATCAGTATTAAAATGGGTACTTTATTTGCTTCTGCCTGTTCATTGTTAGCATCGTCTGCTAACCAGCAGGCCTGACATGATCATGAAATTTTACCCAAACAACTAATTTTCATATACATAACTGCAATTAAAGTCAATGTGAATCGAAAACCAAAAGCATTCTTCTTCCTTAATGTGACGTATTTCCAAGTGAAACAGAATGCTGAAACTGGTAATAACTGCGGGTGGAGCAAGATTTTCATCTTCAGGATTTGACTGGATTGTAAAAGGTAGCCATCATGGTGTCAAAAGAACCTGGTTTGCAGAAAAGCCAAAGAAAAAAAAAAAGATACATTTTGCCAGAAATTAAGTGCTACAACAGTTTGATATGTATTGTCTGTAGTTTCTGAAATATGATTCGTTATTTATTGAAATCTTAATCTGATTTTTTTTTTTTTACTTTTTGAGACCAGAGCCAGTTAGCAGGGTAGCCTTCGATTTCTTTGCTTTTCCGTTGCTTTCACTTTTTTTTACACTTTCACCGCAAAAGCAAGAGAAAAAGACTTTAAGAAAAAAATCTGAACTACCTCACTATTTCAGTGTAAACTAACTGACATAACTGATGAGTGATTATTTTTACAATCAATCTAAAAAACGAAAGTGAGAGTTAAAGTGAGGAGAAGAAAGGAGGTTGTCTGCCATCACACGTGCATGCAGCTGGAAACAGAGGTGATGTCGACTGTTCTCGCTCAATGATAGGTAAGAGTGGTAGGAGGGGGAGGGAAAAAAATGCAAGGATATTATTGGTTAGAATATAGTGTTTCCAGGAAGTTCATAGCTTAGTTCATAACCTGACTTTTACTAAATTAGTGCATATTTTAGTTTGACCTTGTTATGAGACGTAACAATACAACAAGACAAAAAAGTTCTGAGTCGGATGGTATTTTAGCAGTGGTTATTCAGTAGCCTAACCACCTCATCTGACACCTTACAAAGTATCCCGAAAGAGCTCAACCAGCCGTAGACCCAGTGCAGAATAAAGCAGCAGCAATACACTGGAGTAGATCAGACATTAAAGGCTATAAACACATCAAATTTGTTACAAAGCTTTGAATTGTTTTTTGGTAAAAAAGCTGCCAGCATGCAACACCAATGCTGTTTTTATGCTTCACTGTTCTTTTAATTCACATGTGAAAGAAATTCATTTGAAACAAGAGTTTTACTGCAGAAATACGTACTCTGAGGTATTTGTATAGCTTCTGTTGTCTGGTACTAGTACTGGTGTTTAAGGATTCATTAATAAAAGAATTTAGTCATTCAGACATATGACATATACCAACCACACAACATTTGTTTTTAAAATTATTCTCTGTCATGATACAATTAAGCAAGTACAATTCAAATGGTCAAAATTACCCCTATGACCCTATAACTCATATATCACCAGAAATCCACAGAGAATAACATTTCCAAATATTAAATAAGGAAAGGAATACCAACATTAACTACTACTCAATTCATTTCAGCCAACCCTAAACAATGTTAATGTTTTTTTTCCTTTCCATTGTTCATTGTAGGCTCAAGTTTAAGTGGCAAAATCAGTTGATTAGCCATCTTGCTTCTTACGTGTCAATACTAAGTAGCTCCCAAGAAATACAAAGTTCAAGCACAAATAAAGAAACATTACTCACTGCTCCCCTTTAAAGCTGTTATAGCAATGATCAAAAGTTTTCATAAGACCCATGATGTCCCAATAAATGAAGATTTTGCTTTCTTTTATTTACATGCATTTCTCTCAACCCAACAGATGAAAATGCATTCCATATATAAAAGTAAGAATATAAAAGTCAGGGTGTGCTTTGTCTTTTTATAGATTTTTTAGGCATGAGTCGATCGCATTCGGTGTCATCCAGGCTGGTGATTCAGCCATGTCTTCATGTCTTACTTGTTTTCAACTCTTAAATGTTTATAAAATATTGTGCATGTATAATACTGTTATTACCATCACATCGCACAGCATTATCCCCTGCTGTGTCTCCATCCTGCAAGACACTGCACACACATCAGAGGAGGTGTGGCAACTAACAGGCAGTACTGTATCCAGCAACAAGCTAAAACTCAACAGACTGACAAGAGAAAAAGAGAAAACCCTCATAGTTTTTCAGATGCATAATGATTACTTAATTTTTCATTAAGTGAGTGAAAAAATCACTAAATGAGTAAAAAAATTCCAGTAATACTCAAAATATATCTTTCAAATATCTTTCAAAATAATACTTAAGTGTAGTAACACAGCACAATTACTTAAGTATTTCCGGCCCTTACAACTAATAAATAACTGAGCTGAGCTTTTCTTGTTAATGGTTGTAACAAACTTGCCCATTTGTTTGTTTAGACAGCACTATGAACACAGAAACTGTGGCCAATGAACAGGATCTCTTCCATATTCACATACAATCTTACCTTCACAAAACATCTCAGCACTATTTACCATCTGTAAAACTTCAGGTCATCTTCTTATTATTAGGCCTGAATATAATTTATGTCAAACACTAAGCGCACTGCGCAGGTTCACTTACACGTACCATTTTCCATTTTGTTTGCAGCAAAAATTCACTAGAAACTCATTCGATCAGAGTCGACCTCATTAACAGAGTGCAAAGACCAATCACACTCAACCAGAGCAGACCTCATTAACATTAAAAGCCCGAAGATCAAAGATGATCGGAACTGACCTCATTAGCATAGAGTTCAAAGACCAATCAAACACAAGCAGAAGTAACACCATTAATATAGAGTCCAAAGACCAATCAAACACAACTACATCAGACTTCATTAACATAGAGGCCAAAGACCAATCAAACGCAACTACACCAGACTTCATTAACATAGAGGCCAAAGACCAATCAAACGCAACTACACCAGACTTCATTAACATAGAGGCCAAAGATCACACACGACTAGAGCAGACCTCGACAATATCGAGTATCCAAAGATGACCAGAGCAGATCTTATTAACATTGAGTATCCAAAGATGACCAGAGCAGACCTTATAAACATTGAGTCCAAACATGACCACAAACACCATTAACA